TTTCCTTTGCTGGCTGCCTGCCACCTCTGCTGCCTCTTTGGTGCGGTGCCTACCCTACACTAATGCGCTGGTGCATACTGCACTGCTGTAGTACCTGGTACTGGTGTACGTTGTCCTTCGTTTTTTTTTTTTTTGTGGGAATATGTAGACTGTGTGTTTGTTTTTCGCCCCCCGTCTTGCTGCACCCCCTGGGGTGTGGTGCAGGGCGGGGGATGCCTGGTCGGCGGGAACCCGGCACGGAACCCTCCGGCGTTGTAGGCGGGTGTGGGAAGCGTTCCCCGTTCTCCTTTTATTTTATTTTGATCGGTCTCCTCGACGCTCTTTCTCGTTTGGTGCGGTAGCTGGTCTTTCTTTCTATCATTTTGTTTCTCTTCCGAGTGGTTTTTGTACCCTATTTTTTTCTGTTTCTTCGTGGGGTCGTATATGCCGGGTTTTGAGACCACGGGCTCCCAATCTTTTTTTTTAGAGCTAATGTGAGAAACAACAACAATAAACAATACGGCGAATCTTCCCGCCCGAAAGCAACCATGAAAACGGAGAAGGAATCAGTTTCCGCCCCGGCGAAACAACACCAACCTCAACTCTTCCCGCTCTCAGTCAACCATGGCTGGCGAACACAACGCCGTTCGGAAAGCAGTCGACACCAGTCTCTACTCTATATGCTGTGCATATATATGCACATGGACAATACCCCGAGGACTACTGCTTGCTGTACTCTATTATAGTCTATATGCGAGATTACGGGTCACGCCAAGAACGCCAGACCGATCCAGCATGGTTGAGTTGCACGCATGTGCAAACGGGTGGTGTTGTCGTGGCCGCGAGCTCGCCGCCGCAGAGAGAGGAGGGAGGGCAGGAAGGGTACTGCTGTAGTAGCACACGCACAAATTGAGCAGCAGTAGGACACAATCATGGAAGGAGCGAGTGGCGGCGCCGGAGCTCCGGCGGCTGGCTTGTCTACTACGGTAGTGCCCGTTACGGAAGAGCAAACATTCCCCAGCCGCAAGGCGCTTAAGGTGGCGGTAGCAGCTGAGCTTGCCGCCCAAGGGCGAGCCATGAAGAATGGAAGCGGTGCTGGCAGCCGACAGATCCACCTTGTGTGCAAGACTTGCACAAGTTGGTCCGTGAAGGGTTGCCAACAGAGGAACGGCGACTTCAAGATCACGAAGGTAGAGAGCTCCCACGTCGACTGCCGTGGGGGCGGGCGCACTAGCTCCGCAGTGATGCAGCCCCTGGTGGACCAACTTGTACGTGCCAACCCCAAGATCGGCGGTCCCGCCATCAAGCGAACCCTCGAAACCGTGGGCTTCGCCGTCTCCGATCGTACGTCCCAGGAGAGCCAAGAAGCGCATCGCTACCTCTACGAGGGAGGATGAAGCGGCTGCCATTGCGCGTATTCCATCATTTTTCGAAGGGATCGAGCGCGATAGCCCGGGTTCCGTTGCCACGGTCGAGGTAAGAAGAGTTGGGATCTGGGCCCTCAGTCGATGTTCACGTCATGCAGCAGTGCAAGGTTGGATGAGGACTACATGTAGACAACAGCAGTGCCACATGTAGCACGTTGTTTGGGCCGTCACGTTACCGTAGATTCTGTGCACAGCTGTGAGGAATGACGGTAGCTTGTTACTTCTCGTCTCCATCTCGATCTCACCACACATGATTTGTGTGCTACGTGCATATTCTATGCTTCTTTCGTATGTCGTTCGGGTCCTGACCTTCCTTCCCGTGGTTATCCCTTGTGTGATGTGTGCTGGTTTTAGATGAGCCGCGACAAGCGGTTCGTGAGAAGCTTCCTGATGCTGGGCAACGCCGCCTTCGTCGCCGCCCACAGCGTCCCCAAGGCGAGTGGATCTCTTGGGGTTGGATCTCTTGGGGTTGCTGGCTTTTCATGTTTGCTGAGATTTACCGATTGCTTTGGGGAATGATTCAAGCCGTCCGTGGAGAGCCATTGAAAGCCGTGGAGAGCCACTGAAATAGTAACAAACAATANTTTGGGGTTGCTGGCTTGTCATGTTTGCTGAGATTTACCGATTGCTTTTGGGAATGATTCAAGCTGTCCGCGGAGAGCCATTGAAAGCCGTGGAGAGCCACTGAAATAGTACACCTGTGGCCAAATGGCTCACCCTGTGCGGACCTTGCAGCCAAATAGACCCTGTA